ATTTTAAATAATATTTATTTATATTTTATAAAATATTTTAAATAATAATATAATTATTAAAACATTATAATTGGGTCCCACATTAGCGACCAAAGTTGGTCGCTAATTTCAACATTTCTTTGACCAAGTAAGTCTGACCAGTCCGGTCAACATGTTGACCACTTTACCGACCAAAAAGCGACCAACCTTGGTCGGTAAATTATTTAAAATAATTATTTAATAATTTTCTCCACATTAGCGACTAACTTTGGTCGTTTTTTTTGACCGACCAACTTTGGTCGCAATTTTTTGGTCGATAATTCCCAAATTTCTAGTAGTGATTTTTCGCTTGTCACTCGCGCCTTGTATGAGAAAAATACATTACTTGAGCGGATATTAGTTTTACTCAGAAAAAGAATTGGAAATAAAAGGTCATCTGCACAGTTTAAGTGTGTAGTGTTTTTCGAGACAAATTTAAGGGGAAACTATATATTATCCTATTATGTTTAAGGATGGAGCAAAACCATGTACATGTATTGGCCATTGAGTGCCCTTAGACTTTGGGTAATGTAAGGGAAGAAAAGAAAAAGGTAACCTAAGTGGACTGGCAGCATGCAGCCATAGATTAATGGGTGAGAGTGACTAGTTGAGAGCCCTTGACACCAGAAAAGTCATCAAATAATACTGAGGTAGTAAGTTGGTTGGTATAGAAATGAGATAAGTACAAAAGATTTCAGGGTCCTACCCAAAACCTATACAGGAAAAACTATCTTAGCAAGTAATTATGTTCGCTGAAATGTTTGGCCAGCATTATCCCAAAGAATATAGAGATTTGTGTGACCTAAGCTGAAGCTAGTATTGTTTCCCAACGGTTTATCAATTTATTTAATTTTATGAAGGCATAAGATCACTCCCTGGATGGACGCAGCATTATGATTAGTCAAGCTAGTGAATTCCAGATAGTTATTGGTAATACCAAAAAATAGAAAGAATTTATATGCCTATAGTTAGGCAGCTAATATTATGCATTTTCCTGCTCTTTTCTGGTTAACTAGACCACAGCTTATTGTTAATTAAGACATACTAATAAGTATTTGGTAAATATGGACAGAAATTAATGGATTGCCTCTTTCCTCACATCAATGACGGAGAGGTCCTAATGATGGGTTCACCAGTCACCACATCTAAAGGCCAAATTAATTTTATAAACACACCCTCTCTTGTGCATATATTCACGTTTCTAACCATAAGAACATGATTTCAGTGTCACATGAAAAGTTTCCACTAATAAGAAATTGCATTTTTTAAGGGAAATTGGAAGACTCTCGAGTGGAGGTAGAATAACCATGAAAAGTGGGACAGGGTAATGCTCCTCTCACCAATTCATCACTACAATAGAAATGAGAAAGATATGTCACAAGTAAGGTTAGATTGACCCTGAGAAGCAAACTCAGTCCTAACGGAGAGATTTGGAAAAATTAGTCTGATCTCAAATCAGCTCACATTTTCGGGTTATCCTACAGGCGACAAGGGAGATTGAGAGGTTTAATAATCAATACCAACAGTTCAGTAGTTTGAACTCAAGTCACCATTACTTCTTCGGGTTATCTTAAAGGGAGATTGAGATGCTTGACAATCAAATTACAGATCTTCTATTTTGAAAAAGTTAAATTATCGTATATTCCGCATGTACTTGCTCATATAATCAGTCTCAAACCATGACAAAGAAGGATGGTTGCAGTAGGTTAAAGACCAACTTAAATCTAGTCAATTTATGATTAATCATTGAAATATTTGGACATAGTATGTATATTGATAATTCATATGCAACTTCTAACTAGATTGAGACTGATACCTAGTTGTTGTTGCATTGTCAAGTAATATGCAACATATAAAGCTAAAAGGAAAGGAATCTTTATGCTCGATAAGAAAATTGATGACAAAAGAATGTGGAGTACTCGGAACAATCCATGTCCGAGGGAGTACAAAACATTAAACTGCAGCAACTCACATATAAGTGGTACCCTGGGAAAAAAAGGCAGCCCGGTGCACGAAGCATCCCGAGTTTACGCAGGGTCCGGGGAAGGGTCGCACCCTAAGAGGGTGTGATGTAGGCAGTCTACCCTGAAGCAAGCATCAGTGGCTGATTCTATGGCTCGAACTCGTGACCTCTAGGCAGTGATGTAGTGTAGTATTACCGGGCTCAACTGAACCCATAACTTTTGACGCGGAGTAAAAATTTATGTGTAAAAATTCATTAAAATTACAAAAATAGTAAATATGAACTCATATCTTTAAAAATATAATGGGTTCAATGCTAAAAACTTTAAAAGTTGAACTCATAAAATTTAAATTCTGGATCCGCTTCTGCCTCCAGGTCACACGGAGACAACTTTACCGTTGCTCCAAGGTATCCCAGGACAAAACCACATTATCTGCTATTCAAACATCGATCAGCTTCCAGGAGATTAATAATATTACCCAAAATATGCCCAATAGAATTCAAATGGAGGATCGAGAAGAGTATTAAAGACAGTGTTATTATATTCAGAGTTGAAGCATAAGTGACCTTACATTTCTGTGCATGTACATAACCTTGTTACCAAAATGTCAAGCAATCACCAAATATATATATATACATATATATATATACAAGGAGTATATCAACACAATATATTTACGCCATATATGTTTTGCTTCACTGGTTTCTATATATCAGTGCACGGATTTATCTGCAAGATGTTGCACCCTGACTAGCTATTCCTGTTTCCTTTCAACTTCCAGGCTAATCTCATTCCGACGTGTGAATGGAAGAGTGAATGGTGGATTATACTGCAAGCAGAAGTATAAAAAAAACACAACTAGTATGTCACTTGGGGGTTACACTAGGCCAAAATCTGTTCCCCAGGAGAATTACAAGTACTATTGAAATGGTTCTACGAATATACCTGTGCAACTTCTATCGAGGCACCATCTTTTACCCGAAACTCTGCATCTCCCTTTAACGCAGCACATAGTCTTGATTCTCGGGCTTTAACTTCTTCATCAGTCACAAAACCTTTGGTGAATCAAATGGGAGAAAGCTAGCTAAGTTAGGATATAAAACTTGAAAATAGAATTCCTAAATGTTTTTGCTTTTGAACTCTGAATGGAAATTGCTATCTACCACAACAGGCATATAGCACGTCAAAGGAAAGGCACAGAAAATACAACTAGATGCAAGTTTCTCTCATATCAAAACAAGAGAAGCTATCAATAAAGCACTAAGTAAACTTAAACAAGATTTACTTCTATAGACCAATGAGACAGAGCTCGGCTTCCAATTACTAGGATATTGAATTTCAAATAAACTTTAATGCAAATCTGTCTAGAACTTTGTATTAACAGCAACAACTATGCCTCAGTCCCACAAAGTTGGGGTCGGCGCTATGAATCCTCACTTCTTTCGATAAGCTCAACTCATATCATCATCATATAAAATAGAACTTTATATTGACATGCTAAAATCTGAAATCACAAACCTGAAAAAGCAACAACGGCGACAGTTTTCCTAGGCACCTCCTTGATAGTTACGGAGGAATCCTTTGGTAGTGGCAAGTCCGAACCATACTTTGAGGGCATGACAAAGGACATCCTCCACTTTCCTTGATCTTCCACCTAATGAAATTCTTAATGAAATTCCAGTGGGTATATTTTTTGGTGAAAATATGTGCGCACGACATTCCGAAATACAAAAACTATATACACAATGTTTATCTTTTTTTCTTCTGGGTTTAAGCCCTATAACATAGGATCATACATCAAGCTAAAATGAGTTTTTCTTTTCTAGAATGGACTAAATCCGGTTTCAAGGTTTCTGGGAGTAAAGAATTCTTATAGGATGCCAATCTATATGGAGGGCCCATTTTCACATAAAATTGGTTTTTTATGTTACAAAATGTTATTCTCAGAAATTAACTTAAGAATTACAAGAAAATGTGTTATCGTTTATATAGGGGTGTATATTTTATTCGTACCATAACCTTTATCATTAAGAAGATCGTTCTTTGTGACTGTTATTCCATTCGACACTTGTTCTAGACTAAGATTAGATATCGCATTATATGGACAAACCTATAGGTATATACCATGTGTGTGTGTTTGTGTGTGTGTAAGTATCTGATAGGAGTTTTGTGCATTTTTTTCCTAATTATTAGTATACTTTGAAGAACCTGCAAGAAGTACCCACACCCATGTCACACTTGTTTGAAGGATCCATGCAACATAATCAAACCTGGAATCTAACAGTTTCCACTCTCCCAGATATGGATTTGCAATACTATCTGAGAGTATTACAGGTTTAAACTATAAGCATCCAGAATGTTTACGTTTTATATGTACCCCCATCCCCCGGCGTATAGGCCTAGCATACAATTGAAAGATCCTCAAATCTCAATCTAAAGCACATGTCCTCTTTTATCAATTCCAGATCAAGAGCTTAAATGTTTTCCTTGTGATAGGTAACCAGATGATGTTTCTTTTCAATAGAATCAGTGAAGTCTGTATTTCCATTTGACGACCTGTGGTCATTTTAGAGTAGTTTTTCATTTACCATTTCCCAAGTTATGTGGTGACTCAACTTCAATAGATTAGCAGTTAATATTTTGAGTAACACCATGTCATACAAAAATGCATGCGCATTAGTAACCAAACCATATGTCACGAATGACGTAGTAAATATACACAGCACAAGAACTAAAAGGGAAAAAGGAATGACCAGAAGACGATCTGTACCCTTTTAGTTATCACTGAAGTAGTCATTTCCATCTTCTCCCCATCAGATTGAGTTCTACGAGTGATTACGGGTGTTGTCATCGCCATACTTTCCTTCTTTGTGTTCTGGAAATCATCAAGAAAGAGAACATAACCAAAGAAGAACACCATTACAATGTGGTTGGAGGCGATCTAAGTTTGACTCTCTATAAGTACCTTTAACTACCTTACCAAACAAGTACTCTGCCAATGTGTTGAAGGATTGAGATGCACCATTAAAATCAAACCCATATTTCCCAAGCATTGTAGCCTCCGCCGCAAAGTAAGGCTGTTTAAAGTCACAATATTACTTTAGATAAATCAACTCGGAGTTATAACGAAAAGAAAAGATGGTTAAAGGGACAATAAAGAAAAGAATAATTATCAATATGACAACATAAAGAGATGTCGGTGATTAAAGTTCTAATAATACAACATATCTATAATCTAGATTAATGCTATTAATAAAAATAAGTTAGGAATGACTAAGGAGGACAAGAATTTAAGAGCATATACACATAAGAAGAAATATCTGCACCATAAATAACAGGGCGACTGATGGTCCAGATTCAATTTTAATACAAAAGTCGATCTGCCAAAACGATTTTATGTCAATGAGGACTTTCAAATATCAGGATCCAGGGCTTCCGTGTGCACGGAAAGAGCTTATGACATGCTTAATTCTAGGTGATCAAACCAAAAATTAGAACATAAGATGATTATTTGTAAAAACTGGCACCTCTGCTTTCTCATCATGTTTTAACACTGAGTCAACAACATGTTTCTCAAAATTGAGAAAACTCCTGATTTGTGATCATTAGTCTATTTCCGTCAACTCCATTCTTTTCCAAAATACTTTTGAATACCAAATCTCATTCAGGTTCATTTGTTTCTTTTTCTTTCTTATTAATAGACATGCTGACCCCCTGCTACAACTATCGCTCTCCAGTTGTGCCATGTACTTAAACAACCTTACTCTCCTCGTTCCATGTGTATTGTGCATTTCATAATCCATTTGCAATCCCCAGGTGCTTGTTTTTTATGACCATAATAAGGGAAATCACATATATGAGCTAAGGCCCATTTTATTGGAAAAGATCGTAGAATCAAGTTACAACAAAATCTGCATGAATGTCTCTTGTTTCTATTTACATGACCTGGTAAATTTTACCAACTAATGCTTTCTTGTATTAGTAACCTTGATTACTTCAAGAAACGGATCATTCTACTTCACTATAATCACCATATATCAAGAATTACTGACTAAATGATTAATCTTTATTTGAGAATATATAGCTGGTGTGAACAAAACGTATCTTACCTACTATTTGTATCTATGTAAGTAGTATTCTAAAGGTTTCTCATAACAAGTTTGCCCTCTATCTTCAACATATTTTAATGAAGATTCATTTTTTTTCCAGTCAAATATTGCTCCCCTCTCATCTGGAACCAGTCTCCCCTGATAAAGTTGCAGAATGGATGCATACAAATCTAGACTCTACTGGAAAAACAAATGAGAACATTAGTTGTATTGGTCAAAATCTGACCATCACGACCAAGCTGACCAACACCCCGTCTCAGTTACTGGGCAGTGAAGGTCAACAGAGCCCACTCCATTTCTCTTCTATGACATCCGATGAATCGGTAAGAGTGACGCCTAAAATCATGACCAAGATACATCAGTGGCAAGAAAATGTTGAGTCAAGCAAAGGGCAAGGATACCCTGACTATATATAGCCAGGGAAAGCTCTCAACTTGGGGTGGTTCTCCGATTTCCCAAAAGGAAGACAAAAAGCTCCCTTCTTGTATTCTAGAAAAAGAGGAAATGACCTCGAAGAAAATGTGTAAATCTGCTTCCTCATCGATTGATGAGAAAGATAATGTCGAATCTTAATAAGATCGACCACATCTCTTTCATCCCATATGCAATTATTGTTGTTAACTTTTCGATATGGAATTAATTATGTTTGACTAAGATTTACCCCTTCATCTTTAATTGATTTGTTAAAAAAGGTTTTAATATCTTTTGAATCAAACAATTTGGCGTCGTCTGTGGGGATTTCTTAGTGAAAATTCCTAGTTTCTCTCAGATCAAAGCCAAGAAACACAATCACCCACCAAAGGAAGCACGAAGAGAGAATCCAACCCACGCGAGACATGGGAGCAGCGCAGTAAGGGAAGGAGAGCCAAGTAGGATTACCAAGCCTAGAAATCCTCGCCACATCAACCACACATATACTAAACAAGGCAAGCGGTGTTACCAACCTGTTCTCCCCCACCGGACCACCTAGCGGGAGCGAAGGAAATCTCATCCTCACCTCCCACTCTTTGTCCAGACAAGCACATAAGACCCGCGTGGACGAACGTACACAGGAACATCTCGATTGACGGACAAAAATTGCTTCAACACAGCTGAAATACCTCCTGCCAGCAACATCTCCGAGCTGGACGGCAGGAGTCGGACAAGAAAACTATAATTCGTACACAGCACGAACCTAAGCGAAATATCAACACCTCGTATTCACCAGCGTTGCACCGTCTGGTGCAAGCAATACCAAACAAACTGGGACTCCTACGGAAGATGTCCAACTCTCAAGAAACTGGGAACGACGACGGGCTGTTATTTCGATAAGTTCGAAATAACACCTTCTAAGGCCGAGGGCCTTCGCCAAAAAAGAGAAGGGTTCGACCTCGATCGAACGACGACGGCCTGTTATTTCGATAAGTTCGAAATAACACCCTTTAAGGCCAGGGGCCTTCGCCAAAAAAGAGAAGGATTCGACCTCGATAGAACGACGATGGGCTGCTATTTCGATAAGTTCGAAATAACACCCTTTAAGGCCGAGGGCCTTCGCCAAAAAAGAAAAGGGTTCGACCTCGATCGAACTACGACGGGTTGTTATTTCGATAAGTTCGAAATCACACCCTTTAAGGCCAGGGGCCTTCGCCAAAAAAGAGGAGGGTTCGAACGACGATGGGCTGTTATTTTGATAAGTTCGAAATAACACCCTTTATGGCCAGGGGTTTTCGCCAAAAAAGAGGAGGGTTCGACCTCGATCGAACGACGATGGGTTGTTATTTTGATAAGTTCGAAATAACACCCTTTAAGGCCAGGGGCCTTCGCCAAAAAAGAGAGAAGGGTTCAACCTCGATCGAACGACGACGAGCTGTTATTTCGATAAGTTCGAAATAACACCCTTTAAGGCTAAGGGCCTTCTCCAAAAAAGAGGAGGGTTCGACCTCGATCGAACGACAACGGGTTGTTATTTCGATAAGTTCGAAATAACACCCTTTAAGGCCAGGGGCCTTCGCCAAAAAAAAGAAGGGTTCGACCTCGATCTAACGACAACGGGCTGTTATTTTGATAAGTTCGAAATAACACCCTTTAAGGCCAAGGGCCTTCGCCAAAAA